AGTGTTTTGAGTCATACTCACCTTAATTTGTGTAAAAGTTCCTTGTCCTTACTGCTTTGTTGTGCTTTTTTAATCGACTGATGGATTCTAATTTAACAATAATTGATTTTCTTCGCCAATACATCAGCATTATCTAATCGAAATTAAGTAGTATGTAGTAAAGTCTGTGTTTTGGTTATTACATTACTTTTTATATTGTTGAGCAGTTTGGATTTTACAGGGTGACTCCCAATCAGGATGCATTATTTTATACGAATATTCTACTGGCAAAAAGTTTATCTAAAGAAATGTCCGTAAAAGCCTCGCTTACGATGAGATTTAGAAATTTAGGTACATATTTAAAATGCTTTTTTCAGTAATTTTTTATTTGAAGCCATGTTAATTTGAACTATGCTTGGTTTAGTTGTTGTAATATTGTTTCGTTCTCCTTTTATAGGTTTGATTTTCAGTCATAGTTCACATCATCATCGAGTAATTTCGAGCAAAAAAGTGTCCAATTGATTAAATAATTCAAATTACTAGAAATAAAATATTAGAGGGACAAAAGTGGCATTACAATAAAAAATATACCCTTTGTATAGTCGCCACCCTAATAAGTTAGCGGTAATTTCAAATATTTCAGCTAAATGTCTCATATGCGCTCAGAGCCGAAGAGAAAAACTTAAAAAAATCAAATTTTTATCCCCATGCCTCCCGTAAAATAAGCATTAGCAAATTTTGGTTTATTTTTTAGACAAATTATCATAAACGAGACTGGTTAAATTTAATTATAAATTTACTGAAACATTTCATTTAGAAGTTACATTTGCAGTTTCTTCTACTTAAATAAATGTATGTGTATTTATAATTTTTCGGCTGTTTGATATACATTTTTGATATAAACTAACGAAATAACTCGTGTTGGTTTGTTTTCTTTGGCATTATCATTTTTGGTAAAAGCTCTTTGGTAAAACTGGGTTTTTCGGTCAAATAGCGGCCAAAAAACACCATTTTACTTGGGCGAACGTTCGCCTATGTTTTTACTGCCTCGGTTTTCCTTTTGGAGGCCCGAGGATAGCTAAAAGTATAGTCGAAACGTTGGCCTAAAGACAGTAGTGTTTTTTGCCGCTATTTGATTGATAAACTCAATGTTACATGAACATCATGAATAAACATCATTTGCTTACCAAATATATAATTTACCAAATATTATGGTAAATTGCAATTTAACTTACTTAATTTTAAATTGCAATGAAACTATGGTTTCATTCGATTAATATTTTCTTCTTAATAGGTGTAATTATTTTATATTTGCCTCTTTATTACTTAATTTTTAAAATATCTTAAAGTTAAAAATACGTTAAAGTGGATTCAGCGGATTCAGTAAGTGCTGTTATTACACGTATTTTATATATATTTTTTAAATTTTTTGGTGCGTAAAAATCGTAATTGAAATATTTCTGTGACGCTTTTGACTGCTTTTGCGTATCAGAAAAGCTGCTACATTCATCAAAAGTATATTGAATTTTAAATAGTTTATAATGTAATATGGTGCTTTATCACTACAACAGTACATTATTTTTTAGTTCTTTAATGTTCTTTGTATTCCGCTATTTTATTTCATGTTTCTTGTACATAATTTGTGAGCAGCCAGCAAGATCTTTTTATATTTCTACAACATTTATTAAGTTCGCATATTAAGTACTCGTGATGACTACATTTTGGTTTCGCTCGTAAGTTGATTTAGTTCGTATGCAATATTATAAATTGTGTATTTATTATTTTTTGTTTGTTAATTTGTGATAAGAACTTCGCGTTTTAGCTGAATGAAAGCCCAAGGGTTTCGGAGAGTTTTACGAGAACAGTTAGCAAGCAATTAATTTTCGAAACAATCAATAATACAACAAACTCAAGGAAAATAATGAAACCATTTATAAGAGTTGCTAATGTTAAATGTACAAAACGCATGAGCGAGGCTCTTCTATACACAAATACGACTTTGTCTATTGAAGGGTATTATTTATTATTTAGTCTTGATTCTGAGAAATGTTGATATTTATCCGTTCGATGCATGGATGAAAGTTACCGAATGTATTTCAACTCACGGTGAGCGCCAGTAGTGTAAAAGATTCAAATTTCTAAGTGATTCGTCAGTGTTCAAATTTTCTAGCTGTATAAAATATGCAGATAAACTCTATCTAGAGTCAATTGAGACGGCGACTTTGGTACTTAACTGGGCCTGCGCATCTCACATCCCTGTTAGCGGGCTGGAGTTTTCATACGGTCTCAATTGAGTTTGCCTAGACGTTACTCACATGTGCGAACCAATCTGGATTATCCACAACTGTGAATAATTAGCAAAATTCAATTTTTCTAGTGTTTTCAAGTTATCAACGCAATTGAGCACTAAAGTTAAAAAATGCTCTTCTACCTCCTAGATGTATAGTTGGCAATAATCTTCACTATATCTGGCTTTCCAGGTTGGATAACTACCTACCTTACATACCCGCATCCAGGCAAAGAAATTAATACATTAGACGACCTCATAGAGAGTAAATTGCCAGTTTATGCATACAGCACGTGGAAGGAGCTGCTCACTCGCAGACTTGATGGTCAATATCGCTACTATAAAAAGGAATGGGTGTGGCTGAAACCCGTTGATAATGGACCAAAAGGGGCTTATGTTGTATCGTACGACTACGAACAGAGATTGCTTAAAATTCCTCAGCTGGATGGACAGTCGCCAAATCTTCGGCAGGTAGAGGTTTCCCCAATGGATGAGTATTGAACATATTAATAAGTAAAAGTGGGTCCAGGTTCAGGAACGGCTTGGAACTGGTTACCTGATATTCTATATAGGAAACAAGTCGCCGTATAAAACACTTTTGAAGACCATTACTCTGAGAGCTCTGGCATACGGTTTCAACTCGAAGCAATGGGGTGGATTTCAAAGGATGTCAACGGATACTCTGCGAGATGTTAGCGAGCTGGAAATGAGCCACTTGGAGGTCATTTTTCTATATTTTTTGTTCGGAATTGTGCTGAGCGTGTTGGTTTTTGTCGCAGAGCTTTTTTGGTTTTATCGCAATCGTTTTTAACCATCGTTTGAAAAAAAAGGGGATTTTTCCAAAAGGGTTTTTGTAAAATGGTAGGTAAACGGACTGTTTAAATGTTGGTCCTATTTTGTCTTGAGGAACTTGTACCAAATATTTCATTAAAGAAGCCGTTTTACTGTAAAAATTTGCTTTAATTATCGGACAACAATATTTTGCATTTAATGGTTCACACGAAAGTTGATTTTGGGGTTCAATATTTAACAGTCAATAATTTTCAGGAAGGAAAGCAAGCGCGTCATGTCTTGTTGGAAAATAAAAAATAACTTTTAAATCTAAATTTAGTTGGGAAGAAGAAATCTCTGGAGTTTTCTGCTAAGATTCACAGTTTTTTTATAAAAAATCAGAAACTGTTGTATGGTTCGAGAAAGATACCGCGATTATTAATATTTGATACTTTCCAGAAAAAAGTAGCGCATGTCTGGGTCTGTTTGGCAAAAAAACTCAATTTCGAATTTTGTATTCAGTTGGGAACAAAATAATTTTGAGTTTTTCTACTAAAATACTTACACAGTTTTTGGTAAAAAAAAACTATAAACTGTTGTACAGTTCGAAAAAATGTCCACAATATTTAACCTTCGATACTTCGAGCTTACCAGTGCCTTTTCGGCAAATTAAAATTATTTCCAGACCTATATTCAGTTGGTATTTAAAAAGTTTATTTGCGATTTTCGCAGTTTTTTTATTTGAAAAACAAAAACCGTTGTTTTGTCTAAGAAAATTACCGCAATTTTTAACGAACGTTTCCTAAAAAACACAGAGTATGCTAATGTCCGAAGATAAAAATAATTTGTAATCGCTACATTCTCTGGAAAGCTCAAAATGGAAGAAAAAAGCTCTTAAATTTTTTGCTAAACGTAATTTTTGATTTTTGACAGTTTTTGATTTAAAAAACAAATATCGTCGTCTTGTCCGAAAAAATTACCAGAATTTTTAACAATCGATTCTTTCATTGAAAAGAAACAGAATACGCCAATGTGTTGTAGGCAAATAAAACTAATTTTTCATTTCTCAATTCAGTTGGGCTAAAATGTAGTTTTTGGCTAAAAAAATTGAAACGGTTGGATCGTTCTGGAATATGACCGCAATAATAGTTAACATCCGATACTTTCCAGAAAAACAGCAGAGCAGGCAATGGTATCTTCAGCAATTAAAAATTAGTTTTCATTTCTACATTTAGTTGAGAAGAAAATCGTTCTTTACAGTTTTTCTACTAAAATGCACATTTTTTTATTAAATAAATGAAAACCCTTGTATTTCCTGAGAAAATTAACACAATATTCAACATACGATAATTTCCGCAAAAAAGCGGGGAACGTCAGTGTCTTTACGGAAAATACAAATTATTTTTCAATTCTAATTGGTATTAAAAAAGCTCTTTTCAGTTTATCTGATTAAATGCACCGTTTTTCATTAAAAAAAGTTAAAGCGTTGCCGCAATATTTAACAATCGATACCTTCAAGAAAAAATAACAGAGAATACCAAGTCTCGACGGCAAATAAAAATAACTTTTCAATTTTACATTCAGTTGGGAACATAAAACTCCTTTGAGCTTTTGTTCTAAAATGCAGAGTTTTCTATCAAAATATATAAACCTCTGTATGTCGAGCTATACGTGCTGTTAGCAGCAACAATAGCAATGACTAATTTCATTAAAAATATATACGTTTTCATACGGTTGGATGAACGCAGTACGTAAAGTTGATATTTATTGCATGTCCGTTTTAGTATTTATTTACTGATAAGAAGCTCAGGAGACCAGATGAACAAATAATCACTGCAGGAAAGGTTTGCAAGTAACAAAATGTTGCGCATTTTAATATTTAGTTACAATAGATCAGCAAACCCACTCATGATAAGATATAGTCACTTCAATTTTTCCACTTGAACTAGACGAGTTTTCAGTTACTCGAGATATGTATGTTAAATAAGTAACGTTAGAAAAATGTCTGAAGTTGATTTAATTACTGAACAGCGGGGAGCCAACGGCGAAGTTATTTCATTTGTTGACCGTAAGTTTTGCAATGTTTTTACCAAACGAAATCGATCATACTATTAGTGGATTTGTGTTTGTAGATGATGATCAAATCTTACCGTTGAATTTAGAAAAACCGAAGTCTTTTAGAAAATTCCGCAAATTCTACAACATTTTTGAAGAAGTGATACGTCCCAGGGGCTATCCAGATTCGGTTAGTGAAGACTATTTGAAATACCAAATCTGGAATACTCTGCAATCTTTCTGTAATACAGTGAGTGCGTCTTTCAAGACCCGGACAGTGCTAAAAAGTGTGGGTGTTGGTGATAGTAATGCCAATGCGCTCTCTGCGGCCATAATCTGGATATTAAGAGATGGCACGGGGATGATTGGCAGAATTTTGTTTGCCTGGTGGAAAGGGTAGGTATCAGCAAAGTTCCAGAGCAAATAATAGCTGTAGGCACCCAGAAAGTTCACGAGTATTCTGGAATTATTTTTCTTAACGGCCATATTGATTCAAATTCTATCTCGTCGATGACGTCGTCTGCGAACTAACTGGGGTTTAACCAGGCAAAAGCAACACCGGTTAAAATCTGGCAATAGTGCCTAGTAGCTGATTTCTAACCTAACACTTTTGAAGTGTTTTTGTAAATATTTATGTTTGTTTGCTAAAATTACAAATTTTTTTTTAAACTGGGAAACATAATGTCAGACGTTGATCTGATTATCAGCGAACAGTGTGGATCTACAGGCGACACAGTTTCATTCGTTAAAAGTAAGTCCATACTTTATAGACGCAAAAACATGTTACGAGCACACACAATCTTTGATTTTTAGATTCAAATGAAATAATCCAAATTAAACCCAGAAGAAACTTCATTTATAACTTGCTGGGAGTGTATAGTTTTCTCAAGGAAGTGATTCTTCCTAATGGATATCCCGATTCAGTCAGCAAGGACTATTTGGAGTACCAAATATGGGACACTTGCCAGGCATTTTGCAGTACCATAATAGGAGCCTTTAAGACAAGAGCGGTTCTGAAAGGTGTTGGTGTTGGTGACAGTACTGCTAGTGCCCTATCGGCCGCAATAACTTGGATTTTAAGAGACGGAACTGGCATGTTTGGCAGGATTTTATTTGCCTGGTGGAAAGGGTAAGTAAACGCTGTTATATACAGGACTGGATCTAATTAATAATTAACGAAGTACATATCTCACCTGAGACAACAAGACTACGTAGTTTTATTCAGTAAATATATTAAGTTAATCGTCACCTCTTGTTAAATAGTCTCTTAGTCATGGGTTGGACTGTAAAAGAGCCCTGTTGGAGGACTTTTATTTCTTGATTTAATGTGAATACTTAAGTCTGTTTATTACAGAGAATATAATATTTTTTCTTTTGATAGTTTTCTAATAAATCTCTATCACCATCGACCATTTATTTTTCCATTTCCTTTTCGGGTTGGCTTTGCTTTGGTTATTTTCATTTGTGTCTAGATAAATTCACTCATCCAACCAATTTCCTGGTTTATTCCATAAGCACCGGAAATTCTTAAAGGGTTGAAAATATATGTTTCCGGGTCGTAATTTAGGTACCGCAGTTTAACATACGGTGAGAATGCGGCAGTTGGAGTAACTTACATTTGAATTCAGCGAAAAACGATAAAAAGTTGTATATGTGGCTGTCGTTTTTCTCATGGTAAATTGATGTAAAAAATGAATTATATGAAATTTACATTCTCAATTGATAACATATTTTGTATTCTGCATCGACGTCTATAAGTATATTTCATGAACCGTCTTATCCCTAAATGCAGCAGTTATTGATAAAATTTACGATTTAACATATAAATAAGTAAAACGGATAATTTTCCCCAAAATGTGATGTAAGTGGTCCTGAATGATATTTCAGTTTTGTTCCTTTTTATATAAAGGAACAAAAGTTCAAATTAAATGTTCACATTTCTATCGATTATTTTTTGCTTCTGATTGTATTTTCTGAATATCGTAATTAATTAATTAAATCTTTCGTATATTTTTTTTTCAAATTGTATGTGGAGCTGAATTCGATACCAATTAATAATTAAAAAAACCCAACATAAATTCAAATGAAATGTAAATATTTTTGGACGTTGTTTTTGTTTCTCGCTTAAGAAAAAAACATAAAAAATCAAATTTTCTATGGGGTATTCATCATTGGGTAACGAGTACCTATTTCCTGGCTTACTTAAGAATATATCACATAATTAATTACACAGATAAGAAATATAAAAATTTGCAAATTATTTGACTGATTCTGATTTTTTTTTTCGATTTTTTACAGTGTTTAGTCTTTCGGTTTTGTTCTAGAATCGGAAGAACATACTGTAATTGGCAGATTTTTCGGGAAGAGTAAGCCTATAGATGAGATAATTTATATTAGAATTTCTGCTGTTATAATAATGAGTCACTTGGGCTTTAAAACAAGTTTTTATGTAAAAAAAACATTAACCCTTAATACTCGTAGATATAAGTACATCGTGTTCCATAAACCTTCGACAATACGTGGGATGATGAAAGCATTTCCGACAAGTGAGAAAATGAACAATTAGCATTTATGAAAGTATTATAGTTTTCCAAATACCTTCTTGAAAATCGAAAAAACCTGACATCACTTGATATGTTTGGCTACTACTTTTTTGTAACATAACGTCTAAAACATTTGAGTTTTAGAAAAATATGAACCATTAGCTGTGGAAAGCTAATTGAAGATTTTCAACACGGGGGTCTGAAAGTAAACACACGAAAGATACGGTGATAAACGAAGAACAAACGGATCTTGATCTGGTAAACGGGGTTACCATCAAGCAAACAAAAGTAATATAAAAACCTAGAAGTCAAAATCACCGAAGACGGACTACTCGATACCAAAATCAAACACCTTCGACTTCGAGACCAAAGAAAACAAAAAGCTCATTTATTATGTGATTGCAAAAAGCATAGTCACATTCGCATCCGAAGTGCGGCCATTGAAAGAGCCATAGACAAACGCCTAGAAGCAACTAAAATGAGTTTTTGGCGTTGAGCGGCAGGAATATCGAGAATAAAACGAATAACAAACGAGACAGTTAGATAAATCATGGAAAAGACGAAAAGAAATAATGCAAGAAGACAGAATCCCGAAGCAAGTGATGAACTGGCAGTCAAGAGGGCGAAGACGACCCGGTAGACCGAGGAAAAGTTGGAGAGAAGCTAATTGTCATTGAACTGAGAGACAGAGTTACCCTTTTTGAAGCACATGCTTCGATTACTTTAAATCGAAAAAACTCGAAAACTCTTGCTTTTAGCCACTTTTACCTATTCTGCGTAAAAATGATAGAGCAATTGATTTTTTGCTAAAAAAGTAATACAAGCATGCACGAAAAAGTTATGACTTTGCAAAAGAGAAAAATATATGCAGGTAGCGCCCTGTATATATATGTAATAACAAAGCCGAGATTAAATTTTAATTTCTCACGTTACAAAATCCCCAAATACGAAGATCGATATCACATCAAAAATTGTCTGAAAAAACATAAATTAAAGTGATTTTTTAATACCCCGTAGCTCGATAAGTAAGGCCTCGCGGCCTTATGTTTATATAGACAATTTATTTTGAAAATATCTGTAGAGAGCACTTATTAAATTTGTATGCATATGTGTGTAAAAATAATACTTTTTTTCGTAGAAGTGGACTTGATTGTGATTGCAAAAAATGGCGCTATTTTGCAGACATTCTGAACGATGCAGCTATGTTGGTGGAACTTTGTTTGCCATTCTATGCAAGCATATCAATGCAAGTGCTTTGCGTAACATCGACTATGTATGCTATTGTAAGTAGCATTCATCACATACCAGATTTGGTATGAAACTAATTACAAATTAGGTGGGAATCTCAGGCGGAGCCACTAGAGCGTCTATAACTCACCATCAAGCCATCAGAGATAATATGGCTGAAATTTCGGCCAAAGATGGTACACAGGAAACTATAGTTAATCTCATCGGCAGCTTTGGGAGTATATTTTTGCTCAACTACTTCAGTTCATCTAGGTAACCACATACGTACAAACTACTATTTGCATACAACTTTTCCTCAATATTTTCCAGAGCTGAGTGGATTTTAATCATATCACTAATGGTGTTGCACTTGTATACAAACTTTTTGGCGGTAAAAGCCCTGATATTCAACACATTTAACAGAGAAAGACTAGCACTGGTTCTAAAATCGTACTTTACGATTGGATCTGTTTTGAACCCAGCGAAAGTAAACGTAAATGAATCTGTCTTATTGGGATTTGGACTGAATGGTTGTGATTAACTATTTGAAAGAAATCAACACTGACGAATCATTTTTCAGTAAAGCGTATGTGTGGATTTGACATCGTTTTGGGCGAGTCTATAAAAAAATCGCTCAACGATTATGCAGCTGCAGATATAAAACTACTCCAGTCAGTCTACAAGGATAAAAAATATATGCTGCTAGTGAATGGGACCAAAAAGAAGATTTATGTATGTTTGGAGAAAGGCGAAACTGCAGCCGATGTTATAGCAGGTTATTTCCATGCTGTATGCTTGGGAATTGCAACCAGTATTTATAATAGTTTGGACTTAGTAAGTGGCTAAACCAGGCATCTGTTAGTAGCTATAATGGTTTGATCTTTCAGGACATCTATGCAAGGCGACAATTACATCACCCGACGCCGATAACCAGACTATACACCTACATGAAGTCTTATGAAAAGTCTCACAATCATTTCCGAAACCTTCCACCGAATTATTTGATGGATTTCAATGAGTTTGTTAAACAGGAACATTCCATGTTTTTTACCGCTTTGGACATTCAAGGTAAGCGAAAACACGATCATTATCTCAAAATATGGATGATATTGATCTCCTGATACCCAACCCAGTCGAATTAATAAATACTTGCAATTTAGTTAAGGGAAATTTCAGTAGAACAATAATTTTACTTCAAGCGTTTATCAATGTTTCTAACTCAATAACAACATTGTAGGGTGGAACATTGATTCGCACAGCCTTGCGGTGGGCGAGTTTCGCATAGACTGGAAATCCAGTCAAAGCAAAAAGACGATATAGTTTTGTGTTCATAAATAAATATTTTATTTATCTGTTTATAATATTTTTTATTCAAAACCAACATATATCACATTTGATTGAGTACCCATTGAAACTATGTACAAGGGGGTTTTGGTGTAGAACAGAGTTTTCTACAAATGGGTCATTAATTTTTCAAGTAAAATATTCTTTTGCATACACAGTATGTCCCAGGATGAATATAATAAGTTAAAAATAGTTTTAAATGCCTTTGGGGCTTGAGCCCTGTTAGTGATAAAAGAAATCGATGCCGTGTTATGCATGGTGTTTTAAAAGCAAATTTGTACAAATTATCAATAAAATCTTTACCGTTAATATTTTAGAAGTGCAAACAAAGGACTGAAAGTGTATGGATATGGAGGGGGGGTCGTTACATCTAATTACCAATTAGTACACTTGTTGCTAGTAAGTTTGTTTAAGAATATATTGCAAACAAGTTTATTTTTATTATTTCCTAACAAGTAAGGATTTAAAATTAAATTTAAAAAATCTCAAACATTAATTTTGGTCTTTAAAATGGCAACCCTATTCATGAGAATGAAGATGTTAGTGTTCGTAATTTCAAATCATTTTTTTTTAAACGGCTTAAGCGGACAAATAATATTTGCAATCAGGAAAAATTTAACCTGATTCCAAATATTAACTGTCCTGAGCGGTTCAAAAAAATCCATTCCTGATAATGTTTGCAATATATATAAAACACTCTGTATAGCACGGAATCAATTCAATTTTTTGCATGCCGAATATTTTCAATCATTTTTAACCAATATAGTGTCCTAGAACATACTGTATATCATGTTTTACTCACTAAGTCTTCAAAGTAGGGAGCGTAAAACCTCCCTGTACATGTTCTCAAATTTAACTAGATTTAATTAAAGTGAAAAATCCGCCAGCGGATTGGAGATGAATTTCTAAACCTACTTTAAATCTAAACTAGTTCAACTAGCTGGTCACAGACATTGACTATAAATTAGGAAGTATTTATATGCAATTGGAAAAACATTCAAGTAACAATAAACAAAATTCCAATCGGTTTATCCCCTGTAGGTATGCGATTAATTTACAAAAAAAATATTTAAAGTAAAAAGTTCTATGAAAAAAACTTTAGTTTCGTGGGTGGAATGACATGTATTTTTAAAATTACCTACATTATTTTGTCATCCAAATAAAGTGAATCTACGCGTCTTCATTGACGCGAGTGCCTAAATTATTTTCTCAGAATCGAGCGGCTTGCATTGTTGGACAGAAGCCAATCTTCTACGTAGTAGGACAAAAAATATTTTTGACTCATTACCAAAAATAGGACATAGTTTGCATGTTCGGATTGACGACGTTACGTTAATTGCTTGACTAGAAACGTTGCGTTAAAATTGGCTATAAATTTATCACATTTGTCTTATACTCGGCTCATAAGAATTACTTTTAAAAATCATTAAATTAGGATTAAAATAAGAATGTTTGGATTTCTACAAATTTGGCTAGGTCATTATAAAATTACTTCACTACGTAACTTACACTAGCAGCCTCAGGAGTGCCAATCAATCGTTCGCTAAGTTTCATTTCGTTTGCTCGCTTTAGCGACATTTGGTGCATGTAAGCTAAGAAACAGCACCAAACTAGACTGCATGCACTCACAAAGGGCACTCGATTGTGCTCTGGGATGTATTGGAAGTTTATTGTTTGTAATACTGGCCAAAAGCATACACATACCTGTAGATAAAAATATATATTTATAAATA